AATTTTTTTTTTTTAAAAAAAAAATTTTAACCCTAACAAGGTTTTGGGTTTGTTTCAACTCATTTTTTTGGGAGAGGCCGAATTTATAGATTTTTTTTTTTTTGGTTTCCCGCCCGGTATCCGGGGCTTCTCTCCGACTAATCTGGACCCAACCCACGTTGCGTACCTGAAAATAGTGGGTGAGTCTCCCAGCAGGGGTTATTGTGTGCACAAGGTCTCGAATTCGAGACCTTACTTAAACTAGAACAAGCCGCTTACCACTTGATCCAACCTTCGTTGGTGGCCGAATTTATAGATACAAACACTTTAATAAGAGTTAAGCCCAAAAAAAAAAAAATTTTTTTTCTACGAGAGAAGACACAACCACACGAAAATGGGTTGATCCATAAGTAAGCAATTTGCCAATATGGCTTATACAATGTAAGGGCTCAAGCCTGCAATACAATTACACAAAGACAAGATCGGGCTTCTTATACAGGCCTAATTGATCCGATTGGAATACGATGTAACTAGTTGGAAATGGAATGTAACCAGACTCTCACATGGTTCTGTTATGTAATAGTAGCAGTGTTTATAAGCGAAGAGAGAAGACAGAATTCCCCTGCACAAGTTTGACACCCACAAATTGAGAAATGGTCCAAATTGGGTTTGTTTCAACTCTTTTTCTGTGAGGGGCCGAATTTATAGATATAATCACTTCAATGAGAGTTAGACCCAAAAATAATAATAATAAATAAATAAATAAACACTTCTATGAGAGAAGAATCAACCACACAAAAATGGGCTGATCGATGAGTAAACGATTGTTAATACGGCCTATACAATCTAAGGGCTCAAGCCTGCAACACAATTACACACAAACAAGATCGGGCTTTTTATCATGCCTAACTGATTCGGTTGGAATAGAGTATAACTAGTTGGAATGTAACTAGACTCCCACATCCTTCTGTTACGTAATAGTAGCGGTGTTTATAAGCAAGGATAGAATGCCGTCACATTGGTGGCCAAGGATGACACGCACAGATTGAGAAATGATCTATTGTCTGTTTTCCAATTCCCCCCTCTCAGTTTTAACCCAAACTGAGCATTATTTTGATGCATATTGCCCTGGCTTCTGTGACTTGAATGCCTGCATTCTTACTAGAGTTCAAGGTCCGTTAGGCTTTGTTAAACATGATAAAATGCAGACCAAAAGTGTCAGTAGAAGCAACTAGTTAAATTTACCATAGAAAATGCCTAAGCTACGGAGTTTGGAAAATGGCTTCAAGTCGGTTTAAGTGTTTAACTATATTTGGTTCTCAAATCAGTTTATGAATTAAGTGTTTTGTCATTGTAGCCAATTAAGTTGGTATTAAGCATAATTGCATCAAGGCAGATTATCAAACCTTCAGTCAAGTCCAGTAGTACCCATGTGGATTATGGGCCACGTAATTGCTATAGTCCTTGTGAATATGTCTTCCTCTGATCTGCTATCAGCTCTATCTGCTTTGCTGTTGGTGTAAATTGCAAATATGATTACATTCTATAAACTTTGTTGAACCTCGGCGATTTAATCCCGGACGGGCCGGAGCTTACAATACATCATACATGCAGTTGCATCAGTTGCTATATATAATTTCTCTTGTATTCTATGCCTCCTGATTTTTCTTTCCGGATGATGACATGCTCTTGAAATTAATCACCTCATTTAGCTTGCTTTCCTCTGTTTCCTTTTCCCCACTTTGTTATATTTGGCTAATTTTCCCCTAGATGCTTTCTTTCTTGATAGATTAGAATGCTTAAGCACTCTGTTATTCATCAAATTTTCTTTCTTTAGCTCTTTTTTGTAATTTTTTTCTGTATAAATTAAATCCTTGTCGCTTTTTATGCCATTTCCGCCATAGAATTTTTGTAAAGGGCGCATATGCTGTCATCTGTAAAATAATTGAGATAGCAAAATGGACAAATTCTGAGATGAAAATTTTAACTTACACAATCTAGACACATTATCTATGCTATGTGCCACGTGCCATGACTTTAATTTGTTCTTATCCTTAATAATAGTCATCACATCTGAATATTCTAGAATTTACCTAGAGAAAAGTTTATAATCTTACTACATTATTGTTGCAGACTTTGAAGAATTGTTAGGGAGGATACACAAGATGCTCCTAGCTCTGTTGCGTAAATGGCAAAGCTTTCCAATTTGGTCCTCTCGGACGATGCTCTCCTGAGTTCTGACAAAACACCATATGTTGCATAGATGTGAGAGCTAACACTCCTCCATCAATGCTTAACTACTGTAAGTAATTTGCCTCTCTTCTATAATCTACTGTTTTGTTGTAATCCATCTTTCTACATGCATACACAAAATGACTTTGCTTTTCTGTACACTTGATGGTTTGTGGAAAAGTTCTTCGAAACCAATATAAAGCAATCCTGAGATGACAGAATCACATCATTTCTTCTTTTGCTTTGAGTTCTGGTATCTTTCAAGTTACAATTTTGCCCAGCATCTGCATTTTAGCTCTGAGTTTGGTTCGACATCAAGGCCTTTCCTGTACTTAAGAGATTACCCCTTCACCTTCACCAGTAGGATATGGACACTACAAGAAAATTCATATTTAGTGATTAAATTATTGATCATTAAATCTTTATTTTTCGTCACAAATTAGTATTAGTGATAAAATTTAAACCGTTAGTAAAACCCTTGTCACTAATGCTCTTAGTGACAAATTAAGCACCTGTCACAAAAAATAATCTTATAGTGATAGAAAAAATTGACATTGTTAACAAGTTATTTATAATAATTTTATTCGTCACAAAAAAATATTTGTCACAAATGCAATTGTAATGAAAAATTTAGTCATTAATTATTAAAATTGATATTAAATAAAAAAATATTTATATAATTATAACACAAATATTGTAACAAAAATTTTGTCACA